GGGCGCGTGCGCTCGCCAGACAGACAGAGAGAGACATAGAGACAGAAAGCGAGAAATCACCCCCCAGGGGGGATGGTCAAGCCGCAATCCCTTCTCCTCCATTCTCCTCTTGGGATCTTGGGCACGCACACATATGTGCCCGGCGTGAGTTTTAAGCCACCGGGTCCGGGACACAAACCGCGGTCGACTACGTGGGAATCCAGCGACATAGCCATTACGCTAACTGCTGGTTCCCTTCTCAGGGGCTCTTGACACTCCCCAAGAGCACGTTCACGCACCCGAGAGGCGCTGACTGCAGGGAGCTTGGGCAGCGTTATGCCGTGCCCGCGCTGAGCTCACTTGTGCCTGTGCTGCCGTGCCAAGCGTCCTCACTGACTGCCTGACCCACAGAGATACCACCTTTCGCCCTAACTTTCAGTATGTGGCATGACAGATGTGAGCACCTTCCCACAGGTATGGCTGCTTGAATCTGGATTAAGTGTCAGCTGAGGACGGCCGAGCCAGAGTGGGCATCTTTGTACTGCATAAGGTCACTACTTCTCTCACAGTGACTTCAGGGAATCAGGAGAGAGCCCACAGAGGCCCGAAAGGAAATTTTTCTTTTAAAACTGGAACTGCCTTAATATAATGCCAGGAATCAACACAGAGCCCTTTCCAGGAAGCCAGTGGGTGAGGGTCCCTGAAGCTCCTGTGGAGCACCACACTCACACCTGAGCCTGGCCTCACACCGGGCGTCCCCCGAGGCCTTCAGAGCCCTGCTGCTGCCTGGCCTCCCAGTCCTGATGCTGGAACTGGCTTCAAGCCCCTCAGACGTTTCAGGCTCACTTATCTGATGATCGGTGCCTCTCCCCAGCTCCCGGCCATGGCTGTGCCTCTTGGCGGGGTTCCAGTCCCACACTCTGGGTGCTGGTGCTAGCCCGGGCACCTGGTCCTTCATGTGCCGTCAACACTGGGTCTGGACAGAGCCCTCCCTTCCCACTCTATGGGGGAGGCCGTGTCGCTCAGTGGGCAGCGCGGGAGCCCCAGGCCTGGTGGCCGCACACTGGCCGTGCTGCCCTGGGCAACTGTCCACCTCTCTAAGCCTCAGTTCCCTCCCTGCTTAGGAAGCATCCCCTGGATTTCCCGTGTGATTCGGCCACACAGGCAAGGAGACTGGCCCCAGGGCCTAGCGGAGGACGCGCCCCGACAGAAGGCTGCTCTCTCCATGCCTTTCTCCCCTACAGCCTGTGCAGCACCAAGGAGCCAGGGCCTCATAGGCCGAGTTGACAGCGGGTATGCCGGTGCCACGGGGCAGGGACCTGGCGCCCACCCTCCGCTCCAGCCTTGGCCCTGGGCCCACGTCGGCTCCAGGGCCGCTTTTCTTCCAGTCGTGGCCTCGGCCCTCAGGGGTGGGACAGGCCCTCACCCTTGGCGGAGTCGTCGTAGCCGATGTGCTTGATGGTGTCCCTCACCACCCGCTGGTAGTCGACCGTGGCCGCGGAGGTGATCTCCCCACACAGCAGCACCATGCCCGTCTTACACACCGTCTCTGCAGGAGGACCAGGGTTAGCAGGGGCGCGTGGCGCCTGGACCTCTCACCGCGCAGGGAAAGCTGGGCAGGGGCCTCACGAAGACTGGGTCCAGGAAGGATGCCATGGCAGCCCACAGCGGCCCAGCACAGGCTCCGGCCTCCGCGAGCCGCCTGGAGAGCAGAGCACCCACACCAAGTCCTTCCCGACTGTGGTCGGGGACCACTTATCCAGCCTAGCCTCTGCCTCCCAGCCTTCAATGACGAGGCGCCAGGACTGCCGTGTGGGCCGCGTGTGACTGCGTGTGCTGTCCTGAGGCCCCCACACGCAGGGAGGCTGTCAGGCCCAGTGACACAGACCAGGCAGGGCCCCCCTGGGGAGGGCCGGGGGCAGGGTGGGGGGCCGCCAGAGGAGGCTGGTGCCGCGCAGCGGAGAGGGCGAGGCTCTGGCCACAGGAGAGCGGGCTCGGAGCTCCGGCAGGGCAGCCTGCCCCACACCGTGGCCGGGGCACCACGACCCTCAGCTCAGCCCTCGCTGCGGGGCCCCCAGGCTCCGGAGTCTCCGACTCCACTGCTACCCCAGGGCTCTGGCCCAAGCAGACGTCCCCGTCCAAGGGCTTGTCCACAGTGAAAGGCAGACCTGGAGCCGCACGCGTGTCCGGAGCGCAGCAAGTGAGGAGTGAGCGCTCCACCCAGTGGACACCCCTCGGGAAGATGCTGCCCTCGGAGGAGAGGCAGGCCCTACTCTAGAACCCGAATCAGAACTCAGAGGAGGGAGAAGCCACGGGGAAGAGCAGACATCTCCACAGCCTTGAAGGCTCCCGCGATGGGGACAGCTAGCACGCCCCGCGGGGCCTGGGCTGGTCCACGTGGAAGCATCCCTGCGTGCCCGGAAGGCCTCATTCCCAGGGAGAGCAAGTGTAGGGAGGCGCGTCCTACCCAGCCCTCTGCTATCACCCTTGCTGAGATCGCTCATGCCAATTTTTTGCCAAAAATAATTACCAGCCTGCCTCATGGTTAGAAATGTTTTTCTTGTTACCGCAAAGGGAAGGTCACATGAGGAGGAGACCTCCGCAGATGGGAGCAGCGCTCCACGGCTTCGCGCCCACCCGGATCGCAGCCGCCCCGGGGGAGTCCTCACCACAGGCCACCTTGGCAGTGGGGTCTTGCCGCAGGTGCGCATCCAGCACCGCATCGCTGATCTGGTCGCAGATCTTATCTGGCAAGAACAGACGTGTGTCAGTCACAGACCTTGGGGACAGCACCACAGACAGTGTGTAGTCCCTCACAGGGCACACTGCTGTGGGGGAGAGGCAGTTCAAATACAGGAAGTAGGGATGTTTTAAACATTCATCTCTTCCCGTCCCTGCCTCATTGTGGATAATGTGTATCATACATAGTTGTAGAGTCTCTCCCAAAGATACAGCTCAAAAGCAGCTCTTCTTTTTTTAAGTTTATTTATTTCTTCCGAGAGAGAGAGAGAGAGATGCATAGAGACGGAGAGACAGAAACAGGCACCCCAGCAGGGTCCCATGCTGCCTGGGTGTGGGATGTGCACCGCCGGCAGGTCCTGGGCCATGAACTGAGCAAACCACTATGCCACCCAGCCCATCAGAACAAGCTTGCCTCGGAGTCTAAGTTCACACACACACACACACACACACTCTTCAACATATTCCCTGTAACTCTGACACCTAGAGAAGTCCCAGAAGTAGAAGTTAAAACAGTTAACATATTTAACATAATCTCCATCAAATTACATTCTTCACAGATCTAGAGAAAACAATCATAGAAATTTTCCGGAATCATAAATGAATAATTAATCATAAATTACCCCTTACTGACAAAGCAATCATGTGTAAGAAGAGTGTAGTAGGAGGCATCTCACCCCCAGCCCCAAAATATACAATAAAACTGTGATAAACAAAACAGCATGGTATTGGCACAAAAGCAGACATGTGGACCAATGGGGTAGAATAGAGACTCCAGAAATAGACCTCAAAACACACAGCCAACTGATTTAATTATTTATTAGAGATATTTTTGTTATAGGGTCCATGTGCTCACTGAAGAGAGAGAGAGAGAGGCAGAGAGACAGAAAGTGAGAAATCACCCCCCAGGGGGGATGGCCACGCCGCAATCCCTTCTCCTCCATTCTCCTCTCAGGATTTTGGGCACACATATACACATGCCCAGCATGAGTTTCAAGACACTGGGTCCAGGACATGAACTACAGTTGTTAGAATGAATGGGGTAATAAAATCTCTCTCTCTAAACCTACAGAAATTTATTATGCATTTGAGAGTCGATTTTTTTTAATCAAGAAATTGTGGGGTACGCATGAGATACACTATTATCTTCTTTTTTAAAAATATTTTTTATTAATTTTTTTTTATTTCATTTTCTTCCATACATTCAATCAGAAAGAGACTTTTTGAAGAAGACCGCCCTGGTGCCTGCAGAAGTTTCCCGCAGTTTTGCAGAGCATCCCCTCGGGGCTCTCAGGGCCACGCCCATGATCACAGCTCCTCAGGCCAGAAGACCGAGCAACCGGGTTTGGCCCCGCGGGTAAGGGAGGGATGGCAAGGGCTGGACGTGAGCTGGACTTGATCTAATCCTCCTTCTGCCCAGCAGAGGCCACGCCCTCTAGCATAGAGACCACTCAGGGGCCCCGTGAAAAGTCCAGGCGTGCTCCAGCTGGAGAACACAGGTTGTGTGTAAAACTAGTGTCTGCATCTTCTCTAGTGTAGGGTCCTAGTATAGAATCTTGCCTGAGAGGGTATTCCATAGTGTTTGTTGAAAAAAGACTAAGCAATGAAATAAAGAATGATAGAGAAGAAAACGAAAGAAAACCCAGGCTTATTTGGAGATTATGAAATGTGTCGATGTCCACAAATTCAGAAATGAAAGTGACAGCTACTCACACATATCACAACTCACGTGGCTTTCAAACACCACGGTCTCCTAATATCAATCGTTGGGAAATCATGACACCTATTTTAAATAGAAAAATATGCCATGACTTTTCCCAATGACCTACGAGACCGGTACATTTTTAAGAAAGAATCAAGGCCCAGTTGAGGTGAGTTAAGGCAGATGAATGTCACATGACTGATGGAGAGGCTGAGTCCTGGAAAACATGCAGGGTGCATGTGTGTGTGCCCAAAATCCCAAAGGAGAGTGGAGGAGACGGAACTGTGATGTGGTCACTGCCTCCACTTCCTCCCTCTCCTCTTCCCCCATGAGTACATTGTTTCTTCTAGCAAATTATTTTTAAAAAAGGAAAGAAAGAATTGGGATGCAGAATCAAGCAGTCATGCTGGAAAAAGAAATGCTATACATTGCAAAGATAGATGTGATTAAATGTAATATATAAAAAAAAAAAGAATCAAGTAGTTTGATTCAAAAGTAGATGTTAAATTGTGTAATTAAAGACATTTGTTAATCTGTTCTTAAAGGTGAACTCTCGTTTTCCTTCAGAAACTAGTTCTTTTGTCTCTTCCTGCCAGTGCAAGCCCTGATCATAAATCTAGACTTGTGTGACCAGAGCGTCTGCACTGCTCCCCCGCTCAAGGTTTCCCTCCACTGAAATACCTAAAGACCTGGCAGCCCTCGGTTACCCTTCAGGACTGGTGGGCACTAGTCACAGCCCAGCCGGACATCTCAACACCTTGTGCCCGCTCTGCGCGGGGACACACGACAGCTCCCGGGGTGAAAGCAGAGTCAGGCAAGACTACCGAGTAGCCCCTCAGACAAGTCATTGTCCTGGTTTTGAACTTTTTAGGCTTTTAAAATTTCTACCAAGGGCAGGCGGGGTGGCGGTTAAGGCAGCTTGATACCTCAAGGATGACCACGTGGTTTCAGTCCTGGGCCCGCTGGCCTGAAAAACACACCAGACACAGGGGCACGTGTGTCCAGGGTCTCAGGAGAATGGTAGGCAAAGGATGTGGCACGCCATCTCCCCTGGAGGGTGATTTCTCACTTTTTGTGCCCTCTCTCTATCTCTCTGGTGAGTACACGCACCCTATAACAAAAAAAAAAAAAAAAAAAAAAAAAAAAAACAGAAACTATTGATATCACTCAGGCTTAAGATAGCCAATGATTGGCTTAGTTGGTTTTCATGGGTGCTGAAGGAGAGTCACTTTTACCCAGCTGGTGGAGAGGGACTCGCAGTGCAAGGAGCTCAGCGTCACCGTCGGAGAGGAAGCTGACGGCCGTGGAGATGGACTCACAGGGGGGGGGCCCCCCCGCCCAGCCCCCTGCCACTACACGGGCTAGATGAGCCAGGCATGGCTGACCTTGTCACTAAGCACGTGGCTGTTGGGTGCCACGGGCACAACGGGACGACTGGCCGTTGTGCCAGAGAGCCCGCGGCCTCCAGGGGCAGCAGCTCTCTCTACCCGTGCAGCCCTCGCAAGCCGAGGCTGACCAGAACACCAGACATCAGCAACGGGTGTAAGACCACAAGCCAGTGGGCTGGGGACTCTGCGAAGTGGGGAATGAAGGGGGCCATTGTTCTGAGCTGAACTGTCCCATCCAAACCTCGATTTAGTTCAAGCCTCTCTCTCTCCCTCTCGCTCTCTCTTTTATTATAATTTGCCAGAAGGCATGCGTGCTCACCAGAGAGAGACAGAGAGGGGAGCTGAGAAAACACCATGGGGGTGCCATGTCACAATCTTCTGTTTTTGTTTGCAGGGTTTGGGGCACTCACATGCATGGGGTTTTTTTTGTTTGTTTGTTTTTGTTTTGTTTTGTTTTGTTTCTTTTTGCCAAGGTTGTCAACAGCTACGCTGCCAACACATGGGCTACACCATGCTTCGTGGCAGGGCTTCGTGGCAGGGCTTCGTGGCAGGCAGCCTGTGTATTGCAGGGTGTTTAGAGCCTGGTTTCTACCCAACAGGTGCCAGGAGCACCTCCTTCTGCCCTCCATAGCTGTGACAACCGAAAAGGTCTCACATCCTAGGGGATAAGAGTGAAACTGCCTCTGGTGGTGGACAGCTGGCTGAAGCACATGGCCACGCAGCAAGGGCGATGTTCACAGCTCAGCTGCAAGGTGGGAGACCTCTGAGAAAGGCCAGGACGAGGGAGAAAGCTAGATTGGGTGATAAATTACCAAACATTTCAAATACCCACTCAAATGAATTTTGAGTTTAAAATTACTTAAAAGGACTTAACAAAAAATCAACCCCAGCAGTTCTCGGAGTGGCCCTCATGTCAGAAGGCCAGCATCTCCTGGGAGCTTGCTGACATGTGAGTTCCTGTGCCCCTCCTAACCCGCCACGCCAGGGCTCTGTCCAGCTGTGTCCAGCTGTGCCAGAAGCTCCGGGCCACATCTATGTGCCGTACACTTGAGAGCCACGTCTGCAAACAGCCTCTGAACGTCTGCCATAGTCCTTGCTGTCCCCCATAAGCTCCCTCATTTCCCACCTACCTGCCAGGGACCGAGGCAATGCCTACATTTTCCTCTTCTTCAGGAACTCGCCTGTGCTTCTCTGCGGTAACAGCCCCGAGAGTCCTGGCACCTAAAGGTCTGTGTCAGTGCCTGTCAGAGCAGGGCTGTTCATGTCCAAGCCACACGAGCTTCACGTGCAGAATCGCGGGGCCACGGTCTTGCCTCAGAAACATTCTCTCTTGGCTTAAATTGCTCATTGATGATAAAGATGTACTCAAAAGCCAAAAGAAAAGTAAGGATCTAGTGTACATACCACATGTGCAGCCCCCACCGCTGCCTCAGCTGCTGGTGGTGAACACGGCATGGATCTCGGCTTCCACAACCCCTGCCTCACAGAGCTGCTTCAGACCCCCCAGCCCTTACACCAACTGGCACATTATTTCAGGAGCCCTTGGCGTCCCCTGGGATGGCAGCTGGCCCGTCAGCTCAGGACAAGCCACTCACCTGGGTGTCCCTCCCCGACAGACTCTGATGTGAACATGAAGGCTCCTTCTTCACTTAGGGAATGGTCGCACAAGCCGTCCACCGGCCCATTCATCTTCCCGCCTGCTGTCACTCAGCTTCTTCAAGGCAGTGAGCTCAAAGCCAAGCCTTGCCAGAGTTTCTTCCTCCAACCCCAGTAGGCTAGTCTTTGGCAAAGCCGCAGGGATCGGTTCTGCCCAGCTGCTGTGAGCGTGTGAGAGTAAGGAGGATGGCCAGCAGAGAGGGTGGGCAGGACACAGATGCGTCACTCTGTCCACTGGCCAGGCTTGCCCCTGCGTGACTCCTATATATGGAGAAGAGAAAGTGCCCGAACAACCATGTGAGGGAACTGGAGGAGTCCATTCCTAGGGGAGGGGGTCTTGCTTTGAGGAGTTTCAGTCCTCGGCTCTCACTCTGCAAACCCTAAGTACCCGGCCAATGTGAGTACAGACGCCGGCATGGGCACTGCAGAGCGGCCCTCAGCTAACCTGTGCATTGCTGCAGAGTTAATACCCACTTCAGGCAGTGGGGGTCTGCGGTTGCTCAGAGATACAGACAAGCAACAGGAAACCCACCAGAGGAACGGTTTAGCTAGGTTCGCAGCAGTGTGGCCTCGGTGTTGAGTGCTCCGGCCTCCCCCACACCGTGTCTGCATGGGCCCTTCCTCTCTACCTCTTGGGCAGAGCAGGAACACGCACCTGTGCCCTGAGCCAGCTGTGACGTTACACAGTGACTCTGTCTAGAAGAACAGCTTCTGAGTCCACATTTCCTTGCTGACAGAAGTCACCTGTGCTGTCAATGTCTCTAAGAAACTGGAAAGCAGCATGACAAAAGGTTAAAGCATCCGACAGGTTACAGAGAACAACGTTTTCTAGAAAGGGCTTTAGAGACAGGTTCATTCCAGGGAAACCATCAGAGCCCAGTTTCCCAGAGCTTGCAGAGGATAAATTACACATCTGTATTTCATTTCATTTCTATGCTGTGAATAAAACCCTGCTCGCATAACTGCCATGTGAACCCGTCTGTGCACTGAACGGCAGTCCCTCTCACTCCACGCTCTCCTCTCCCACCCAGGTGTGTCTCGGCCCTGAAAACAACAGGGACTGGAGATCCCAGAGAATGAGAATGGGTGGAGAAACCAGATCCTGCCAGAACACAGTGCAAAGTAATCAGCCAAAACGGAGGTCGGACTGTGGAAACAAAGTGGGGCAGCAGTGACCCAGCTAACGGTGGTGACCAAAGCCTCTGTGCTTGTCGCTCAAGCCTTAAAAAATTTTCTGGCACAAGTTCTGGTGCCTAAAACCTTGAGTTTTGCTAATTTGTCAGTAGCAGCAGCTCAGTCCCTCCAGGGAATTGAAACTACAGTGACGAGATCTCTGAGAATAAAGTCAGGGATCTTACAGAAATGTATTTGATCAGAGGCATCTAACAAAGGGTGATCTGAAGCTCTTATGCACAGGAGTTGCTGAGAGGTCAGAGAGGAAGGGCCGTGGGCCACAGAGGACAAAGGAGGGTTCAAACAGACTAGATAACACGGCTTATCACTGTCCGCACACAGGGCTCTCCTCTTTGCCCCTAAAGTATTTCAACATCGCTGTCCCTTTGTAAATGCGTCCTGGGTACATTTGTACCTGAGACAGTAGGAGCTAATGTTTAATTTGACTGCAGACCTAGGCGGCCCCTGTATTTGGAACTGTGTGATAGCCATTAGGTTCTACGTTTGCTTTAGGGGCAAGATGAAGCTTAAGTACCAGTGCTCATCAAGGTTTCAGGAGAAGACAAAAAGCAAAGCACAGCTGCCCTCTGGGTAACGGCAGCTGGGGTGAGGGCCCAGGTGGGTCCTGTGCAGGAGTGGGGCGCCCAGAGGAGGAGGAGGCTGTACTCTGTACGCAGGAGGCTGTACTCTGCCTGGGCCCCCACTCAGAGCCAAGGAAGGATGGGAGACCCTGGTTCAGTACATGTCTCACATTGACTTTTCACACAACATTGCTGCTAAGCACGAGGGTGCCTCCTCTTCTCACAGCAAATAGGCCAAGAAGCAGCGCTTGATGTTGGCAGTGCAGACCTCAGGGCGAGAGCCCCGGTTCTGTCTCTAACCTACTATGCATCCTGGGGCAGTCCTGACCTCTCCTGTCCTGTTTCCTCATCTGCAAAGCAGATTAAATAATTACCTACTCATATATTTTGGGAGAATAACACAAGGTCATTTAGGTGCAATGAGTGTTGAGCGTGGTACTAGCACACAATAAAACTGATAAATAGCAGCTAATAACATTATCAACCAGTCTATGTACATATCATGCTTTTCTTTTAAACAATACTAGCTCATACTAGGGTCGACTTGGTGGCCCTTCCTGCCAGGGGGAGCTGGGAGTTCAGTCCCTTGGTCGACCTGCACACACTGGCACGTCTGCCTGTGCTCCTGGGTAGCTGAGAAGGCCAGCGCGGGGTGGGGGCTTGGCAGGGGTGGCAGAGACCTTGTTGAGCAGCTTCTCTTTCTCTCTCTGTCTCACTCACTATTAAAAATAAACAAACTTTAAAAACTAGACCATGATACCTTGTATACATGCACGCACTCGTGTGTGTATAATTTTGCTTCTTGTTTTATGTCACAATATACCATGATCCTCTTCATGTCACTGCACACAGATAGACTTCATAGTTGAGCACCTAAACAGCTGTCACAATAAGGAGGTACCTAACTACCCCTTCTCCAACGGTTAAATATTTTCGACTTCCCAAATTATTTAATATCACAATAACGTTACAGTAAAGATACATATTCAGAGGCACGCTTTTGTAAAAAATAAAATGGGAGGCCTTGGCCATGCTGAACTAGCCAAAGACTTCACTTTTAAAATAGATTTTAGCAGTGAGATAACGGAAAAAGCAACTCGACCGAGAGTGACCTAGCATCATCGGTCCGCCCACTTCAGAAAGAGCTGGCAGGTCTCGGCAAAGGTGTAGTCACACGAGGACTCCATCATAAACACGAATGAAATCCTCCCTTACGCACAAGCTGACCTTTCCTCCTTACACATGAACTGTCCTAATGCCCCCACACCCCTGCAGCCATTACTCAAGTCCCGTGTCAAAGGCCCAGAGTTGGTCTCGCTTCCACACGACAACCTTCACCTTTCACCGGCACACCTCTGAAGAAATCTGGCTTTGAAAATAAATCTCACTTTCAGTCAGACTCAACCCTGATGGCTTCTAGATGTGAATATCTAACGGAAGGGTATTTCTAAACGAGTAGTACATGTCAGCCACCCTGACGAGTTTAATGAAGATGCCTCGAGAGCACCTGACCCCACCTAGGCCGTGTGGCAGCAGTTGCTGGGAATGCCCTGGGCAGACAGCGTCCTCCACTGAGCCATACACTGCTGTACCCGACCAACGGGCCATGGGCAGAAGGAAGGATGGTTTCAGTGACCCAAACTCTAGATGCAGAAGTGGAGTGTGCAAGTGTCGTTTAAGCACAATTGTTTCGTTCCTCTCTTTCCTTTTTCTTTTTTTGAGAAATTAGATTTTAATTGGTACACTAAAACAAGTGGGCATTCTTTTGTAGACAAGAAGATACGTTAGAACTCAATAAATATTCAATAAACATTATCTAATATAGGTGGGAGAACTGAGGGGAATAGAAAACCACCATTAGAAATCCTCAGGAGACTCAAAATTTACTTCTCTTTTCCTAATGCTTTTGTTCTTGGTAATGGTGTTCTAACACCATTACCTCACATAGATCAACACGTTAAGTCAGGTACCTCCTTATTTATATTATGATATTTACATTTTTTAATTTCTTTTTTAGATTTTATTTTAATTTTTTTATCATCCAATCACTATACATTGCTTAGCTAATAAAGTGAATTCTCTCAACATGAATACACTTCAAACCAGTCCAGTTGAGGTTCCTATACATGTTATCAACAATGATCCAGTTCTGTGCCCCATAAATGTCTTGCCTATTTTTCTCATTAATATCTTTCTTCACACTCCACCTTCTTCCACCCTCCTTGTACACTGAATCCAGTTTCCATAACCATTTTCCATGCTTCTATATCCTCTATCTTTCAGTTTCCACCATAAGAGTATGGGCAGCTGTTACATGTTAAGTGGAGACATACAATGTCTCTCTTTCATAGCCTAGCTTGTTTCACTCAGTAATAAATCTTCCATATTTGTCCATTTTCTATCACAAACACATCTAAACATCATCTAGGTGTTCCTAACTTAAATGGCATAAAATAACTACAGGAAATATTTTTGAGAAGATCTACTTTTTTTGTCTCATTCATATTACTTATGCACAAAATTTCTCAAATATGCTTTCTTGTAACGTGAACAATTTATTTATGAAAGAAAAGTAGAGACTGTCCTTCCAGGCCGCAGGCACCAGGTCCAACTAGAAGCCTTTGGTCAGCAAGGGACTCTGGGGGGGGGTCATCTCTGACCCCCCACCCCACTTCCAGTCTCCCATCCCAAGACCACCTCCTTGGTAGGTAGATAGAAATTTTCTGCGGTATTTTTTGCCTTTTTTTTCCCCTTGGAGCCCATCTATTCTATTGCTAATTCCTAGCTCTGCCTCTTTTCACAGACTGTCCTTCCAGGCCGCAGGCACCAGGTCCAACTAGAAGCCTCTGGCGGCGTGCGACTTTTTCTTTATCTCTCTCTGTTGTCTTTCATTTCATTTCATCTTATCCTCTCCCCTGCACTTCTTACCTTGACAGAGGGACTAGACAGGTCTAGAATCACACATCTGAAATTCCCTAGTAACGCAAGTGTCTCTGGGATCCTCCCTTGTACTGATCAACCTCTGAGAATGCCCGGCCAAAAAGAAACACTCCTACTCCTAGTGGGAGAAACATTCCCCTAAGAGGTTTTCAAAGGGGATACATCTTCCAATGGCTAGAAGTAGAAAAAGAGCCTCAGGTCTGAATAAACAAGGAAATATGTCTCCAACAAAGGAAAACTCTCCTCCATGTCTCGTAAATATGGAGGGCGTTACCAAAATGACAGACAAAGAGTTTAGAACATTCATGGTGGCCAAATTCTGTGAACTGGAACAGAAAAGAGACAA